GGGCTCTTTGTGAAACAGGAGCTTGTTTTCTCTTGGCAGAGGCTAATGAGGCTGCAGGGAACAGGCAGAGGGCTTAGGAAGCAGGCAGGGATTTTGGGAGGGTGTCCTGGAGGAAGTTGCCATTGCCCTGGATGGGGACTGGAGCCACCTGGTCTAGTGGGAGGTGTCCCTGCCCATGGCAGGAGTTTGGGACAAGATGAGCTCTAAGGTCACTTCCACCCCAGACCACTCTGGGATTCTGTGTTTAGCGTCTGTTGCCAGGTAACCTTTGCCTGGATGTCCCCTGGCCTTTGGGAAGGGGCAGGATGAGGCAGCTGAGAGATGCTGTCCTGCTGTGGGCTTGGCTGGGCTGTGTTTGGTTCTCAAGCCTTTGTCCCACGGGGCTTTTCTTGCTGAGCAGAACAAATCTGGGGACACAGTAGGGCTGCATTTATTTGTTTGTTAAAGGGGTTTTTCCTGTTGGGTCTCTATGATCCAAAGCCAAGGAATCAGAAGGAGACAGTGCTCTTTGCCATCCTATCTTTCCTTCTGTTGGCAGCACTTTGGGCAATTCTGATTAAATATTGCAGTGGTCTTGGGAAGGATTGTGTGGCCAGACATCACTGTGGTGTTGTTGGACTGTGTTGTGAATCCCAAATAACTGCACCCCTAATGAATGCATGGGGCACAGGAGGGATCAGGGCCAGGGAGAGCAGGTTGGTTCTGGGCTGTCTCACCTGGGCTGGCCCAGCTCTGCCCCTAAGAGCATCAGGGGCAGCAGATTATTCTTAATCCAGGTCACGGCAGTGCCTCAGCTCAGCCTCAGGGAAAGGTGTGGGGGCACCCAGCAGTGCCACCAAGGGCTGAGCTCAGAGGAGGGCTCAGGAGTCCTCAGCAAATGCCAAGGGATGGATCCCTGTGGGCTTCCAAAGGGGTGAGTTGTCCTGACCAAGAGTGTGAAGCTGCTGAGGAGCTGGTGGCTGGCACAGCTCTTCAGGAGAGCTGCAGAAAGCCTGTCCTGAGGGTGAAGGAGCCTTGGTTTTAATGAAGAGATTGTTATTTATTAGCTTTTACCAGTGTCAGGGGGATTTGGGGCTTCACTTGCACCACAAATGCTGGTGGTGAAACAGCAACAGCGCTGCCTGATCCATAAATGTTCCTGGGGGAGGTACTGGGCAGCTTCCCAAAGCCACAGTGAACTACCTGGCACAAGGAATCCTTTTCCTTCCCCTCCTCCCCACCATGTAAAGGCTTTGGCCAGCACAGTTATATGACAGCAAAGGGAAGGGAGATTTTTGTATGCTCCTAATTGATGTATTTGTGCCAGCAAAACTTCAGAAGTGGTCCAGACTCAGGTGGGGTTTTTCAGTTGGGTTTCATTTGAGGGTTTTTGCAGTCAGGCACTCCACTGGTTGGAGAATTTATCTTTGCTTCTTCAGGCCAGGGTATTAAGCCAAATCTGCCTTTCTGAGGAAAGCATCCCTTGCTCCTTCTAGGAAAGTCTCCATTTCTTGGTAAACATTGTGTTTTGTAGTGGTTAAGTCTGAGGTGGAGAGTAATATGGATAAATGTTGGAATTTTTGTTTAGTTTGGTTTGGCTTTCAGTTAGTAACTTGAAGCACAGCAACCATTTGAAATTTTCTGTTACTAATGCTGGTTCCCAAATTTATTTCTATGAACACCTTGTGTGGAGACTCAAGCTGTGGGTGGATCAGTTCTATCATGTCTCTGCTTTATTGGAGGGGCAGTAATGGTGGGAAAGGGTTAATTGTTTTATCCACATCTGCTTGGTTTGTAACACTTGAAGATTTATTTCAGGTCTAAAGCCTGTGCCTTGATTCCCTGGTTTGCCTGCAGTCACCAGTTCTGGGTGCAGAGCAGGTACTGGTGCTGCAGCAGCAGAGCACTGCTCCTGCTGCTGTCCCTGTCACCTGTGGGGCAGTGAGGCCCTGCATGGGTGTTTGGAGCAGAAAACACAGATCCTGCAACATTCCTGGCAGCTTTTGGCACTGGGGCTTGTCCAGAGCCTGCTGTGCTGTGCTGTGCTCACTAGAGCAGGATGCAGCAGGAGTGAATCCCTCGGGGTGCTCTGGGGCTTCAGGGTCGGCAGTGGCTGAGGGTGGGGGATCCCAATTTGCTGCTGGTGCAGCAGGAGCAGAGCTCATCCCTCTCACACACCTACCTGCTTTCCTTCTCCTTAATAACCTGTCAGCAGGGAGATGGCTGCTTGGATTTCCTTGCCATTCTCTTGTTCTCCCCCACCCTGCAGAAGCCTGAGTGAATCATTCCTGCGTGGGTACAGCCCTGGGAGCTGGGCTCAGCCTCAGAGAGGCTTGCAGAGCAGGCAGTGATGCAGAGCAGCCTTGTTACAGACCAAGGAGCCGTGCTGACACTTTCACAGGCTGGGGACAAGGGAATTTCTGGTGGCTGAACCTGCCCTCGCAGAGTCCTGGGCTGCTGCAGCGCTTCTGTGTGGCAGGGAGTTGGTGGGAGTCTGCTTAAGGGTGCAGAAAGCAGGACAATTATTTTAACCTGCACTGAGTGCCTTAAAGGCAGAACAGATTTACTATGTTTTAAAAACTCGGCGCACTTTTCTGGTCAATGATGCCAGTACCAAGCCAAGTACATCTCTGGACCATGGAAGTGCACCCATTGCAGTTTTTGTGCTGGTTTTAGTGCTGAGGTGACACCCTAAAGTCGCTTGTTGATCTGCATTAGTAGTAGAATTTCTTCAGGACTAGAATTGGATGCATTTTTCTCCACTTAAAATCCATTCTGTGATGGGCTCATTTTTCATTAAGTCAAGCAAGGTACATAGTACTCAGAGTGTGAAATGATTCAAGTGAATAAACACATATTAATGATTGCTTTATTTGGATTAGTAGGTGCTCTGTTTGCCTGCTGTAAAAGCATCTGTCTCAGGTCTCTCACCTCCAGTGGTGTTACCACAGCAGCCCGAGGGTGCTAACCTTGGCAATTCCACACTAATCAGGATGAGCCTGTCTCCCTTTATCCTTGAGCTGGGCCCATAGGAGGTGATAAATGAGCCCTTATTTTCCTGTGATGATGGATACAACCAAACCCCATCCTAACTTTGTTTGGCACGTCAGCACAATCTGTTCCTTTATTGTGTGCAATTAAAAAGCCCCATCAAACTGCAAACAGTCCTTTAATTAAAGCCCCCACAGCCACAGTTTGTCATGCTCAAGGATCCTGTGGTTGTTAAATAAATTTGGTTTGGTTGCTGAGCATGCAGATCTGGGGTTTGGTGGGGGTTTTGGGATTTCAGGTGTTCAGGTGGTGCTGAGGATCAGTTCAGTGTTATACTGCTACAAGGGACTTTGTGCGGAAGGAGACATTTGCTTTCCTCACATCAGTACAAATTTGTTAAGGTCAGTGGAATCAGGTTTATTATATAAATATACATATATCAGGTTTATTACAGATCTCAATAGATGGACTGTGTCAATGTCTGGTAAAATGGAAGGAGAACTATTCCTCTGTGTGAAGGGATTAAAGCATCCTGAAGCATTGTGTGGTATAACCAGGATCTTGGGACAAGGTTTTCATGTTCCCTGCTTGAAGAACCCCTGAGGGAAGCAGTGCCCATCCATCTCTGCTTTGCTGAGTCCCAGTTTCAGAGCTGCTCTCTGTAGTTCACATTTCATTAGGCAGCAGAGGTGACACTGAAGGGATGAACCTTTGTCCCCAGGGATCTGTGGAAGGTGTTACTGTGCTGATCCTGGATTGCAGTATTTGTGCTGTATTCATGCAGGTGGAATACAGGGTTCTTGTCTTTCCTGCCTGGGATGAGCGGGAGGAGCAGGGGAGGGTGATAGCTGCTGCTGCAGGAGCCTTTACAACTTCCCGAGCTGCAAAGGCTCCCACAATGCACGGCCCTTTGTACCCAGCAGTTTGTTCCCTTCAGTAGAGCTCTTCTGTTGAATTAAACTGCTTTTAAATCGTGTACACAATGGCACCTTTGTTGGGGAGGCTCCGAGGGCCTCTGGAGGAGCATTGACATTCCAGGGCATTGTTCTGCTCCCATTCAACCTGAGGCCGGCCGCTCCTGCCAGGGCCAGGCCCCTGTGTCACCCCCTGCTCTGCTTTGCCTTGCACTGGGTTCAGCTCCTGGGCTCGTGGTTTTAGCAGAGGGACCAGAGTTTGCCCAGCACAGCCCAGAGAGACACAGCAGGAGGTTGGGAGGCAGCTCCAGCCTGAGCCAGACCCTCCTCTCTTTGGACGCTGCTTGTGTTCATTCTGGACAGGATAAACTGCATCTCTTCAATGGGCTGCCTTTGTGACCTGTTCAGTGGGCTGGGTGCTGGAGTCCCCATCCCTGGAGGTGTCCAAGGGACACCTGGATGTGGTGCTCAGTGCTCTGGGCAGGGTGACAGGGTGGGGATTTGGCACAGGTTGGATTTGATAGTGGAGGGTTTTTCCAACCTCAGTGATGTGAGTCTGTTTTTATTTTGTGATGGCTTGAGAAGGGAGCTGCTGAGGCTCTGGGGTGGTGTCTGTGCAGGGGCAGTGAGGCCTTGGTGTGCTGGGAAGGCAGGTTGGGCTCTCAGGGAGTTTTGCCTGCTCAGCCTCAGAGGTTATAGCCAGCCCTTTGTTCTGCAGGGGCCTCAGACAGAGCAAGGGCCAGACACAAAGCTTGATTTCTGTGTGTAGATTACACACTGGTTTGCACAGGAGATTACCAGATTTCTCAGCTGAGCCTCATTCCCTTTCCCAGAAGTGAAATTGCCCCTCCCAGGTGCTGCCCACCATCAGCCCTTCAGGTGGCTGCAGCCTGGAGCTGCTCTGCAGGAATGTGTCTGGGTGTGAGTCCTCCATTGCAGCTCCTGGTAACTGCACTGGCCAGGGCTGGCTGGGACAAAAGCCAGCTCTCTGTTTGGGAAATCTGTGCCTGTAAATCATTGATATTAATGCTACTCCAGTTCCTACATGCTCTGTAGAAGGAGTCTGCTCAGTGGTGTCCAGGTGTGGAATGAGCTGTTGTCCCTTGTCTCGTGCAGTGTCCAAGAAGCACGGGAAGCTCATCACCTTCCTGCGGACATTCATGAAGTCGCGCCCAACGAAACAGAAACTGAAACAGCGGGGGATCCTCAAGGAAAGGGTGTTTGGCTGTGACCTGGGGGAGCACCTGCTCAACTCTGGCCATGATGGTAAGAAACAACCTGCTCCTGAGCTCTTCTCTGGTGGGAATTTGTCAGGGTGACCGTGGCTGTTCAGGGTCGTGCTGGGGGGACAGATGTGTGACACAAATCCGTGGCTGCATGGGAAATGAGGCTCATGAGAAGCAAACATTGTGCTCCGATGTGGGAAGCACCGTGGTTCAGTGTAGAAGCACTGAAGGTGGCTGCAGCTCCTGAAGATGGATTTTCAACCTCTTTGAGTCTTCAATTCTTTTTTTTTTCCAAGAATATAAGCTTTGTTTGTATGTCAGTGTCAGTGATTAACAGGCATGTTAAACCCCTACATTTCTCTTAACTCAATACCTTTATATGATTCTAGCACAATTTTCAGTGTAAATCCTTCATTTGCCTTTTCCTTGGATTTCACAGGATTTACAGGAATTAACTGGATATTGTGTTTCCTCACAGCTGACTTTTCCTCTCCGTTCAGGGCCCCTTTTCCCTCCCCATCAACAGTTCAGGGAGGCAGAGAAGCAAACCTCTCCATTCCAAGAAAAAAAATTACACAGCTGTTACCACTCTTCCTGGGATGAGCTTAGATTTCACGGGCTCTTTCCTGCCCTTTCCCTGTGCCACCTCCAGCCCAGGCTCCTGCAGTGCTGAGGAGCAGCCAGAGCACTGGGATGCTGTGCCAGGGCCCCAGGCTCAGCTGTTCCCACGGGGAGCCCACACCCAGGGATGTTTGGGAACGCAGCCTGGAGCAGCTGTGGGCTGTAGTGGTTTGCCCAGGAGTAAAGGCCATCAGGAAAGCAGTGATGGGATCTGTTGGCTTTGCAGCAGATCCCTTGTGCGAGAGTTGTCCATCTGGTGTCTCCCAGCTTTTGTGTGCAGGCAGAGGGAGAAATGACAGGATGTGTGGGGCAGGAAAGGAGTTTCTCTGTTAAGGTTATTTTCAGTGAGTCTTCAGACTTCTTGTTCGTCCAAATGCTTTTTGGGAAAGGGCTGGGAGTAATTTCTTGCTGTTTTTCCAGCTGATTTGGTTGCTAACAGAGATGTGCACTCCCTCACCTCCCATAAAAGTGTTTCACTACCAGCTGGTGCAGAGCATGTGCTTGTCCTTATGGAGTCAGAACTGTGGCAAGGCTCATTGGCTCGATTGGAGCCAGCAGAGATCCTTCCTGGGGCTGGCAAAGCACCAGAGCTGGTTTGGAGTCAGGAGCAGACACTGAGCCATGTGGACCTGCATCAGGAGTAGGTAACTCACAGCACTGGGTGCCTCTGGAGCTGGCACTGTGTGTGTGCTGTGGGAGCACTCCTGGAGGGCAGGAGCCGTGCCAGCAGAGTGAGAGCTCCTTGATGGGCAGCAGGGGATTCCCTCTCACCCCAGCCCTCCTCCTGGCTGTTCTCCTTAGGCACAAGTCAGCACTGGCCAAAGCTTTTCTCTGCCCTCTGTGCTCACTGCTTCCCCTGGCTTCAAGGGCTGGGTTATTTAGCATTCAAAGACACATCCTGAGCTGAACTAAACTGCTTGAACTGCACTGGAGGTTCTTGTTTGGCAGTCTCTGGGAGTTCTGTCCTTGTCCTGGTCTCTCCCCACCATCCCACACACTGGGGTGACACTGACTGGGCTTTGCTAATGAGGTCCCTCAGCTCAGGAGTCACCAGCTGCTTTCAGCCTCATTTTAATAACCCTTTCCTAACTCCCTGGAGTGAAGCAGATCCAATTTGATTGTTGCCAGCAGGGGTATGACTCCGTTCCCCACAGCAGGATTGTTGTTTTCCCTGTGATTCAGCTCCCTGACCTGTATTCCAAGTGATGTAATCCCGGGATGGGGCTCAGAGGTTCCCTGAGACATTTCTGGGGCTGTGCATGCACAGCATTTTAAGATTCTCTCCTCCTGTAGCATTACTGTGGCTCAGTCATGGAGCCTCTTGCAGTGCTGACCTGCTCAAAGGGGCCTGAGGTGAATTTAAAAAGCTGCTTCTCATAATCAGAACATCAAGTGCTTTTTCCAGGAGCTCAGAGCATGCTCTGGCTGAGCGTGATACCTGCTGGTGTTATTTGGAATCACAACCTAGAACATGGGAGTTCAGAAGAACAAAAAGAACCCAATACATTAATTGGTTTGTTTAAGCTCGTGATGGTTTGGTTGGGTCAATGTTCCATCCCCAAAAATATTTCTCAGGGCTGAAGGAGCAAATGCCACTGTCCCTGGTGATTGCAGTGAGTGACAAGGCATCATGTGCACCTCAAAAATGCAATATTGAAACAAACTGGAGTTATGCTAAGAATTTTCTTAGTTACCTGCTTTGTGAAGATGACAAATTTTCAAGAATTTGCTGAGAAACAACATGAGCAACCTAAATTCTGTAGTCATGAATCTCTGAAACTGTGCTCAATTTTAGTGAGTGGGAAACAGAATGAGAGAATAAAAGGGATAAGGACAAAAACTGCAATAAGTGTAACATTTTTTTAATAAACCCTGCACCGAGGCAGCTGGCTCAGGTTGCTTAGTGAGGAGAAGAACATGTTTGCTGTGTACCCAGAGGGGATTTACAAGCACAGTGGAGATGTTTCACTCACTGCCGTGCCTTGTCTTTCTGTGGGCTCAGCAAGTAATCCCTCGTTGTGCATCCTCTGAGCCTCTGTCAGGAGGAGGAGAAATTTGGCATGGGATGCACAGGAAGAAAGTGCTGCAGGGATGAGCCCTGGTTTGCTGCTGGGGAGCAGGAGCCCTGGGATGCCGTCCTGCAGAGCTCCACGTGCTGCACTCGCCGAGTCCTGACCTAGCAGAGCATTTTGTGCTTATCTGAGCTGGGTGTCCAGGCAGCACCTGGCACTGCATTCTTGCTGCCTGCATGAGGCAGTGACTGCACTGCTGGGAGCTTTTCTGCACTTGCTGGCTGAAGACCCCACTGTTGGAATAAGATCCCAATATTACCAGGTAGATTGTGCCTGAGCTCGTCTGACCCTTGCTGCTGGGCCAAAGGCAGCAGCTGTGGTGTTTCACCTCAGAGACACCTTTGGCTGGCTGGATGGTGCAGCTGAGCGCCGAAACAAGTCCAGGCTTGTAGAAACTCAGTTTACCTCAGGTGGAAGGGCTTCAGGCGAGGGTGAAGAGGAAAAGGAGATGGATTCTGGTGGAGGGTTTAATCCAGAGTTTATTCCATGGTCACAGACATCTGAATCTTGGTAACAGCTCCAACAGAATGCTGACCACATGGCCCTGGCTGAATTTAGGCCCAGGGACAGGGGGAGGGAAGGGACAGGTAAGCACCAAGCAGGTGGGAGGGGCAGGGTCTCAGGGGACGAGGGACACACAGACAGGCCAATGACCCCAGGCCTGGGGGCATCCTTTGAACCTGACCAACCACACAAGGCCTTGCTGGAATGTTAAAACTGACTGACAGGACTCACTCAGCAAGGGGGCAAGGGGGAAGAGAGAGAGGTATTGCCACACCTGGGAAGGGACTGGGAAGTAAAACAGGGAATGAGCTCACACTGCAACACCCCACAGCCCAGAAAAGGACTAAAATCCCACTGAGGATCAGGGATTTTTGTCACTTGCCTGGGAATGTGGCACTGGGAAGGGCTGTGTGCTTGGTGGGTAAGCAGGCACCAGTGCTGGGCTCAGAGGTTCCCTGAGCCAGTTCCCTGCATGGGCTGCAGGAATGCACTGAGTGTCACTTGCTCCCTGCTCCTGCCTTTCCGAAGCTCCTGGGCATTGCCAGGAGCCAGGTGCTGACCCAGGTGGGCCTTTATGGCTCTTCATGCAAACCACGTGTGCCATCTTGCCATGGAGTTTTTGGGATGGGCCTGTGCCAAGGTGAAGCCATGCTCTGTGCTGAGAGGTGCCTCCCAGGCTGGCAGGACAGAACCTGCAGCTCTAAAGATCAGGATATGATCTGTCTGTGCCCAGCTTTCTCCCCAGGGGCAGGGTGTCTGGGCAAGGCAGGAGTGCAGCAGCAGGCTGCTGGTGCTGCTGCCCTGGGAGGGTGTAGCTTGTCATTTCCCAGAGTGTCCTGTGTGGGTCTGAGCAGGAGCACTGAGCACGTACAGAGAGGGAGGTGAGGATTTAACAAGTGTGAGGGATGAGCAGTGCACCCTGAACCCTCCTGTGTTTCTGGTGATTCGTGGTGGGGGCTGTGCTGAGTGCTGGGCAGTGTCCTGAGGGTTGGATTTGGTGTGTTTGCTTTTCAGTTCCAGTTTGGTTTGTGCTGACACTCTGAGCTGTCCAAACAGTGCTGGAGCCCTTCCAGGGTAGGAGTTGCAGCTCCATGGGGTGCCAAGCAGCCCTTCCCCAAAGGCCTTTGGAGGGAAGGGAAGGGAAGGGAGGGAAGGAAGCATTGCTGTCCGGTCTCTTTGGTGAGGTTCTGAGTCATGGGCAGATCACACGGTTATTTTTCAAAATTATCTGTGCTGCAAGCTGCTTGGGAAGGAGGGAATTGGGAGTCACAAGGCTCCTGGGCATGGGGCTGGGTGTGCATAGGTGAGTTGCTTCCAGTGAAAGTCTCAGCAGGGTGTCCTTTTCTTCTCTCTTGTCACATGTCAGTGCTGAATGATGGGCTGGGACCTGCAGGAGTAAAACCAGTTTTGATATGAGGGATTTTGGACTTCTCTGTTGGCAGAGCCTGTGGTAATGCTCCCTTCAAGTATGTTGGTTTGCACAATATTTCTGCAGTCAGCTCCATACGCCCCGTGGAGCCTGCCTGAAGGGTCCTGTCTGCATCCCAGGCAGTGCCTTACTCATCTCTTGGCTCCTGCTGGGCTTGGGAAGCGGCTCTTGGCAGCAGACCAGGCTCAGCAGGGAGGTGCTGTTTCTCCATTGCCCTCAGAAATGCTCCCAGTTGAGTTGGTGCAGTTGCCACCTGCCTTGCTGGTTTGTTTTACAGATTCAGGGGGCATTCCCAGTTGGGAGGGAGCCACAGGATCATCTGGTCCAGCCCCTGTCCCTGCCCAGACCCCCAACAACCCCACCCTGTCCATCCCTGGCAGTGCTTCCAAAGGCTCTTGGAGCTCTGGCAGCCTC